CACCATCCACTACCCACCACTCACTGCCCTCCGCCCGACATCCCGCTGCCGGCACAGACGCTGCCACTACCAGCCCCGTCGCAGCCAAAGTCCGTCGCCGGAATCCTCCTGGCCGTCTCAGCCGCCGTCCAGAAATTCGATGTATTTGCCGGAAAGGGACAATTCGTCCGATCTCTGCTCCTGCTGCCACTTCTCAGCCCGGGAATGGCGACCCTGACGGAAACGTATCTAGATCCAGACGAGACCGGATTCAGGGATTATAGGTTGGAGGTGCTGAAGCGGTGTCGGGGAGACGGTGTCGGGAAAACGGCAACGTTCGGAGTCGGAGATGGAGAAGACACGCCAGGATACTCGATCTCAAATTTGATTCCGCCGTTAAATTCGTAGTCCGGCCAATTGAAATATAGATTGTCCAAGGGAATAAATATGAGAATTTGATACGTCCAAGGGACTCAATTGCAATTTTATGAATTTTATTAGGTTTCAATTTAATCCATGGGTTAAATCTACAATTTATAATAAATATACTAATGAACAACAATGATAAAGAAAGTGAAAAATATTGCGAGATAAATGCACATTATATTCGAGTCTAAAAGTAAAAAATATATATTCGAGCAACTATATGAAATTTTGAACCGAAAATTTTAGTTCGGTTCGTTTTGACTTCTATTGTGCAATCTGATAGTTATTAATGTGCAATTTATGTAACAATATTGTGCACTTTAAATACATAAAAATACAAATAATAATGATAATAATAATAATAATAATAATAATAATAATAATAATAATAATAATAATAATTATAATAATAATAATAATAATAATAATAGGATTCATATAGTTCGGCCGATTCGGTTATTTTGGTTATAGTAAAAACTAAAGCCGACATCGTACCGAACTAACTAAGATTTTAAAAGTAAAACAATAATCGAGCAGAAATAAAAAATTTAGAACAAAAAATATTAGTTTGGTTCCGTTTACGTTGTTGTTGTGCAATCTGATATTCATTAATGTGCGATTCACATAACATTATTGTGTACTTGCACAGCAGACTTCGTTAATAATTTGTTCCAAACCAAACTAATTTTGAATTGAAATAATTGTTTATTTGATTGGTTAACGTAATTACCCTAAATACTTGAAATGGTTTATTATTTATATTATAAAAATATTTTTAGTATTTTTAAATTTTTATTTAAAATTTTATATCATCTTTGTTTGAAAAGTTATACTATACAAAACATCGAAGTTAATAATGTGCATTCCCATATACATAAGGTGCATTTGGTTTAAAATTATTGTGCAGTCTATTGATCGATATTTCTTTTTTTTTTTATGTGCATTACAATTTTAGAATTTTTTTAATGTGTACTGCAATCAACATTATTTTGCATTTATCAAATTATTTATATAATAAAAATATAGTTAGTATCTATATTTTTATATTTAATATTTTTTGTATTATTATTTGATGAAAATAGATAATACAAATAGATAACATATAAAAATATTGTTTTTTATATAGTTCGATCGGTTCTGCTATTTTATTTGTTTGTTATTATTATTATTATTATTATTATTATTATTATTATTATTATTATTATTATTATTATTATTATTATTATTATTATAATTATAATTATTATTGTAACTAAAGATAAAACCGAACCAAAATAAGTGATTTTTAATATACGTGGATATGCACAGTGTTATGATAATGTGTATTTTCCAACGCATTAATGTGCATTTGGTTTAACACTATTGTGCAGACTTATAGTCACTAATGTGCGTCCAGTTTGTGATACGATTTTTTTTATGCCAAAATCCAATATAAAATCGATCCGAAATAATTAGTTTATTAAAATTGTTAACTGAATTAACCTAGATAATCAAAATAATTTATTATCTATATTATCAAATTATTTATAATGTATTATTTTCTATTATTTTACATTATTTTTGTTTAAGATTTATATTTATTATTTTAATATATATCCATAATAAAATATAGAAAAATATTTCTTATAAATTTTTTAAAATTATAAATTTGGCCTATGGACTAAATTGAAATATAATCAAAATTCTTGTAATTGTAATTAGGTCCCTAGAAATATTAAGTTTCCAAAAAGACAACCCCAAATTCAATCCCCCAATTGTCAAAAATCGCATCGTTTCTCCATTGAATTGGCAGGGTGTTTGCTTTTTGGGGCCTCATCGGGCGTCGACGGCGGGACGGGATGAGATGAATTCCTCGCGGACTGAATAACTGAGAAAGCTCGAAAGTTGATGATGGAGGCAATATAGGAAGGTCGGACAGAGCGATGGTTGATTGTGCGGTCGATGACTGATTGCACTGTAGAGAAAGCTCGGAAAGAGTGACGATGGCGGTGGCGGAGACCAACGGTGGCATGCGGCGGTGCTGTCGTGTGGTAGAGGACCTTGTTGGGCGGTGCAAATATTTTTTTCCTGCTCAATCCTCGGCCCTCCGACGGCTGATGGTCGTGCGGTAAATGAAGGTCGTACATAATGATGATCGTGGCGGCGGAGGTTGGCAGAGGTGGAGGCTGACGGCAGCGGGGCGGCGTGACCTTCGTTTGGTAGAAGAAGATTCATGTCTAGTATTGTTCCGTGAGAGAGAGAGAGAAAAAAAAAAAGTGTGACAAGTGGGCTGAGTTGGAGGGGGGTGTGAGATTAATTGGTTGCTTGGTTTGTTGAATTCCACTAATAAATGTATGAAAAATGTCTGAAATGCCCTTAAAAAAGATATATTTTTTGTTTTTTTAATAACCATTAGATTGGATAATATAATAACTACGATTTATTCTCATTTCTTTTCCTAGAGAACCATTCTCATGTGAACCCAAACAGGATTTATGGCATTACATTTTATTTAGTTCATTCAAATTTAAATTTATTTCCATCCCTTTCTAATAATAATAAAGTTCAGTGTCTGCTTTGGCTTTC